AAAGTCTTGAATCATGTTCGTGAGGCCCGCGAATACCTTGTATGTTTTTTGACAGGGACGGCGGGGGTGTCAGCATACTGTCTGATGTGCGCAGGGCCACCATCCCTATGAAAAAACGAAAAATGCACCTCACGAATAAATCTGGATCATGCGCGACCATCCCGCGATCACTGTGAAGTGGTTGTTGACAGGGGCGGCGGGGGTGGTGGCGTATGCCCTGCTGTGCGCAGGCCCACCAAACACAATGACAGGCACTGGTTTCCGACAAGGATGAGGGGGGCCGACATGTATCCCGATCTGTGCTGTCACGTGCGCAGGCGCACCTGACGCATTCTGCACGTGCCCCGAACGCGGCGCACCTGGCGCGGCTGGAGTATGCAGCACACCTGGCGCACGTATAACACGTGTCGCATTTAGTGCACGAGATATGCCTAGCACGCTCGGGCCCCAGCGTCGCGCACATGGGGTCGGTGTTGGTTCCCAGTAGCTTCCCACCCAAAGACGAGCGCTGAACATGCTGAGGCTCGGGTGTTACGTATGTGTTGGGAGGGTGGGCGGGAGTGAACTAAACGACTTGCTATCTAGGAGGGTGCCTTGATCACTGCTCCATATTAATACAAACCCCCTCCCCCAGGCGACGCTGGGGCCAAACCGACCCCATGCCGACACCATGCCGACACCATGCCGACCCGCCCCCCACCATCCCTGGCAAAAAAACCTAGAAACCGCACTCTGCATCCACATTTGCAGCATCCGCCCCCCCCCTATCCCTGTCAAAAAACAATGCAAAATATAACTTGGGGCAAAGTCTTGACTCATGCTCGTGAGGACCGCGAGCATGTTGTATTGTTGTTGGCAAGGACGGCGGGGATGTCAGCATGTTCCCTGCTGTGCGCAGGGCTGTCATCCCTGACAAAAAAAAACATACAACATGCACGTCGCTGCTAAATCTGGATCATGCGCGGCCATCCCGCGATCACTGTCAAGTGGTTGTTGACAGGGACGGCGGAGGTGGTGGCGCGTGGCCTGCTGTGCGCAGGCCCACCAGACACAATGATAGGCATCGGTGTTCGACAAGGATGGCGGGGCCGTCATGTTTCCCGATGTGTGCTGTCACGTGCGCAGGCGCACCTGACGCATTCTACACTTGCCCCGAACGCGGCACACCTGGCGCGGCTGGAGTGTGCGGCACATCTGGCGCACTCAGAGCACGTGGCGCATCTGGCGCACCAGGCGTGCCTAGCACGCTCGGGCCCCAGGGGTGGCTGGCGCGCGTGGCGCACCTCGCCCAAGCGTCGCGCACCTGGTGGGGTCGGCTTTGGTTCCAAGTAGCTGTCCATTCAAAGACGACCGCTGAACATGCTCAGGCTCGCGTGTTACTTATGGGTAGGGAGGGCGGGTGAGAGTGAACTAGACGGCTTGCGGGCGGTGGGTAGCTTGACCCCTCCCCCTACCCCCTCCCCTGGACCTGGACGGGGCGTTCCGCGAGCGGTCAGAGCATCTAAGATGGCCCAAGATGGCTCTGGGAGGGCCTCCGAGAGCCCAAGATGACCTCCAATGGCTCAATATGGCTCCCAAGATACTCCAAGAGGCCCCGAGACCGCTCCAAGACGGTTCCGAGTGGCCACGGAGCCTCCCCAGGAGGCCGCCAAGAGGCCATTCCAAAACCTATGGAAAATCAATGATTGTCCCTTCTCGCCTTTTCGCTTCCGATGGCCTTCCGAGGCCTCAAGACAGCTCCAAAAGGGCCCCTGATGGCCCCAAGTGAGGCCCAAGAGAGCCCCAAGACGGCCCCAAGAGCGCCCAAGAGCGCTCCAAGAGGCGCCCAGGAGCCCCAAGAGGCGCCCAAGAGGCAGCGGATTGGTCCTGCCGCGCCGCGACAGAAAAAGTGCGTTCAGACGCAACGGCCGTCCAGCCTAGATTCGGCGGCGAGCGAGGGGGGGAAGTGAGAAGGGGCGGGCCTTCTCAGAAGGCTCAGAAGTCTCCCAGCCTTCCGAGAAGTTTCCTGAGCATTCCCCGAAGACAACGAACACTTCTCGGAAGGCGCGAAGGCTTCTGAGAAGCCCCGCCGCCTTCTGAGAAGGGCTTCTCCCTCTCCCTTCCCCCCTCGCTGACCGCCGAAAGGTCGATCTCACGTGACTCGCCATCGCTCGGACGTCCATTCCCCGTGCATGTTTCGGCTTCGCGCGTGTTTTTCCGCAAGATGACCCAAAATGCCCCTGCCAAGAAGAAACGCACACGCCCGAGCGATGGCAGGGTGAAGGAGAGAAAGTTTTATTCGCGGCCGTAACGGACGCTACGGAGGGGGAGGGGGGGGGACGGGAGGCGGCATGACGCAGCGCCCCCCCTTCCCCTAGACTGTGGCGCCAGACGCACTGCGGCAGTGCCGGGGACACACTGAGGGGAAAAGCGATACGAGATGGGGGGGAGGGGAGGGGAGGGGGCATAACGCGCGTTATGGCCCAGAGGGTAAAAAAAACACTCTCAGGATGACGATGACGGGCCCACTTTCCACCACCACCACTACCATCGGCAGGAGGAGGAGGAGGACGAGGAGGAGGAGGACCTGTGGCACTGGCGGTGGAGAATGCGCCCATCACAGGCGAGGGAGCGGAGGAGCGCTGCTGGTGCGGAGCCGCCCCAGCGAGCCTCCGAGCACGGGGGGCCCGCGGCCGGCGCGCGGGCCGAACGGAACGGGCCCCGCCGGCCGCGGCGCCGCGGGGCCTCGCGACAGGCAGCAGGCCAGGTTGTACATCGCGTCGCCGGAGAACGTCCTGCCCCGAGGAGGAGGAGGAGGAGGAGGAGGAGGAGGAGGAGGAGGAGGAGGAGGAGAAAGAGGAGGAGGAGGAGGAGGAGGAGGATGAGAGGTTGTGCATCGCGTCGCCGGAGAACGCCCTTCCAGGGGGGGGGGGGGAGGCGGGGCGCGCCGCTCGGGGCTCGAGGGCTGCAGGGCCCGGGGCTCGAGGGTTCGAGGCTCGAGGTCTTCGGCACTCTTCGCCGGCTCTCTGCGGCTTTCTGGCCTCGGGGGCCCTTCCAGAGGCTGCGCCTCGCCGAGAGCGTGCCAGGGGGGCCCAAATCGTCCCGCCACCAGAGAGCCGAATTGTGACCCCAGCTCGGGAACCGACTGCCCCGGTTCCACCCAAACGCGGACCAGTCAGGCTTTGCAGGATCCTGCAGGACCCCGCAAAATCCTGCACCCAAACCTGGGCCGGCCAGTGCAACCCTGGCTCTGCAGGATCCTGCAAAATCCGGCGCTCTCGCTGACCCCCGTTTGCATCGACCCCCGTCTCAAGGCTCCCGAGCCGCTGCCCCCCGCGCGGAGCCCCCCGCAACTTGCCGTGGGGGGCAGTCCGTGGCGGGGTTCGGCAGGATCGGTCAGCATCGAATCGGGAAATCGGATCGGATCGGAGCGGGCCGCATCGGCACAGAGTGGTAACCCCATCGGATCGGCCGCGACAGGGTGCACCACGGCGCCAACGCAGGCATCGGGCCAGACCGGATCGTCGGAACTTCGGAGTCGAATCGGACCGGGCCAGCCAGAATCGGTATCAAATCGGATCGATCGGATCGAAATGGGCACTGGGTTTGGCACCGTCGGAGCGCGGTTCGGGCCTCGGCGACTCCGAAGGTGGCCGTGGAGGGGCAGGGGCCCTGAGTGTAGAAGGAAACATACAAACAAAACGCTGAAAGGCTCCCAACTGCTGCTACCTATCACAGTTGCTGCTACCGCAGCTGCTGGCGCTGCTGTTGCACCTGCTGCTGCACGTGCTGCTACCACTACCACTACTACAAATACTCCTCATGTCACACTGTAGCTGCTTTTGCTACTATTAGTACACCTGGTGTTGCGGCGCGCGCTGCTAAGAACAGCACGAATGATACGGCGATGTCTCCGATATCGACTTCTAGGTGTACGATTACCTGCACGCGCACATTCCTGGACTAGTGCTTGCACCAATCCGACTTGCGTCTCTAAGTGGGTGGGTTCGCTCGTTCTCGGTACCAAGTCTTAGGTCGGGCGTGTCCCCCTACAGGCGGATTTGGGGAAAAAAATAGAAATACTCAAAAAGTACCTAAAACATGCCAAAAAATATTCAAACAATCGTCCCCTGACTATTTTTGACTATTTTGGAATATTCGTCCTGTAGAGGGACACGCCCGACTTAAATCAAGTCTCAGCGTGCATTCGCTGCGATGTACATACGACCCGCTTTACGACTCGCACTGCGGGAGGCGCAGAATGGAAGGCGGCCCCTGGGAGGCTCCTGGGCACGGTTTGGGCGGGCCCCCGGGACCCGCCGGAGGCGACCTCACGCGATGTTCGAGATCGGCCTACAGCCGGACCTAGGCCAGAAGAACCTCCCTCGAGAGAGGCGCGCGTCCGACCCGAATCTATAGTATACCAATATTGTAGCATATCGTTTCCCGAGCGGTGTGGCCAGGAAGCGCCCGCCACGACGCATGTACTATAAGATTTCTCGGTGCGCGCGTCTCGCCTGGGGGGGCGACGCACATATAGTAGAAATATGTTGGGGTGACGCCGGTGAGACCCTCCTCCGGCCACAAAACACACAGAACATCCAGGGGTGCCCTCCTCAGGACGCACAAGAGCGTCCAACAGACACGAAGGGAACTGGGGCACCCTCCCCGAACCGATCTCGATCGCATACCTCGGTCCGACCGTGCTGTCATCTGCTGGCCCTCCCCGGACGGACACCGAGATGACCGAAGACGGGCCGAATGCTTCCCCTGACAGCACCACGCTCCAAAATGCGGGGGCTTTTGACGATGCCCGAAGGTACACCAGGGAGCCCCGAGAAGGCAGAAAGAAGCCGACCCAGAAACCTCTGGGAGATCCATCGAAGCTGTTCGTGATTCAAAAACCTTGAACGTTACGTCCTTCCGGCAAAAATTGCTGGAACGCGTTGGCTGGCCCAGACTGGCCTTCAGTCGGCCCAAGGCTGGCATTCGGGCTGCCACGAACGGCGCACTCGTGATCCAGTAGACGTCCAAAACGGCCTTAAGACAACCCAGGAAGCTCCAGACGACCCCAAAACAGCATGGGATCGGCCCAAGATTGGATTTTCCCAGGACGGCACAAAACCAATCCAAAAAGGCCTAAGATTGACCCAGCACGGCCCCAAAACAGCCGAAGGCCGGCCCACGATGACCGCAAGAGACTCCGAGATGAACCCAAGACGCCCCAAGGCAACCCCAGCGCCTAAGCCACAAGACCCCCCATGATGGCCCCAAGAAGAAAAAACTTAAGAGACCTCCCTCCCAACCCACCAAACGAAAGGCACGTGATGGCTCATTTCTTTTGAAACACGACAGTCGGTTCAGAACGCGTATCCAATCGCGCGGAGCTCGTCTATCCAACATTGAAGGTCAGGTCGGGTCGCCAGGCACCAGACGGTGCGCAAGCAAGAGAGTGTGCTACAGCACGAAAATAAAAAGTGCCACGCGCGAGCTGTTGACTCCCATGCCCGCGCTGCACCGCCCTCAGGGCGGAAGTGGTCAGCGAGACGGGCGGGGACGCTGGCGATGTCCAAACAATTATTCATGACCATTGTTCCCCACATTTGCCGGGGACGCCCTCTTCAGGGGGCCTGTCTGCTGCTTGAGAGCGGTACTACCCGGTTCAAAAACAGATTGTCTCACTGGATCATTGCCCGCACGGCAAGCAAGCTGCCCAAGGAAAATCATATGTTTTTTGAGTTCGCTGGGCAACTGCTCACCAGCCACGTTGAGCACGGTACTGTTCGACACGCGGCTGACGCAAGCAGATGGGATCTGGAGAATGGATCTCAAACAGCGTGCCCAAGAACCGTCTATCCTTCTACGTTCTACCTGCTTCAGGCAAGCCGCAAATAGACAGCACTCAAACTTGGAAACAATGCACGCGCTAAAACGTGTTAATTCCCATGTCTGCTCAATGAGGAACGCGACCAAGCCGATTTCAACGATTTGAAATCTTGTTTGGCCATGCCGATTCTCCTGCTCAGCTCCGATCCGCATCGTCCGTCCGACGCGAGCTAGGCGCCGAGATAAGGCTTCCTTCTCCTGCACGGAGTCTCCGGCGCCGTTCTGCAGGTGAGCGTTAGAGCGGACCTTCATCAACTCCACTTTCATCCAATTCGGGCTCAGGCCGTAGCGCTCGCCGCAGTTCTCGACGCACGCCATCAGCTCGCCCACCACGACTGGATCAGCATCGAGGAGGAGCGCGTCGTCCGGGTAGATCAGTTCCCGGACGAAGTGCGCATCGGGAAGTTATGGTAGCCGACGCCGGAGCTCCTTGTGCACGTCTGCCATCAGAGTCGCCATGACGATGGTGCAGAGAAACGGAGACAGTGGGCACCCTCGGCAAATGCCGAAACTCTGGTCTCGTTCAGCGGACGACACACCGAAATCGGACACCACAGAAGTCCTGGCACTGTAAATTGCATCGACCATCTCAACAAATCTGTCTGGACACCCACATCCCTTGAGCGAGGATGCCAAGGCGTCTGGCGCCACCGAATCAAATGCTTCTCCCAATCTAACGCGCCGCCGCTCTTCGTTGCCCAGGCGTCCTCTATGACTTGTCTGGCCACGAAGATCGCATCATCGGTGCCTCTCGTGGAGCGGAGGCCGAATTGAGTTGGCCAGATGTGGTTTTCGGCCCCCGCATCCTTCAACCTCTGCAGTAGGACCATCACGAAAGTGTTGCACTCGATGGGAAGTAAGCATATCAACCTGTAGTTGTCGCACGATGCCGGGTCACCCTTTTTGTAAAGTATGCGGACGCGCGCCTCGTGCCAGGCGTCGGGGACACGACCCTGCGTCCAAACCAAAGTGCGGAATCTCGTGATCCAAGCGCGCGCAGGTACTCCGTCCTCTCCAGCGGATTTCTGAAACTCGGGCGGCAGATCGTCCTCAGCTTCCTTGCAGCACGAGACACTTCGCCCTCCGTGATGGCACCCAAATTCACTGGCAACTCCTCGTTCAGCGCAGATGAGTCGGGCAATGCTGCGATTGGCCAGACAGCCCACTGGACAGCTTCCAAATGCTTTGCCAGCGCGTCGGCCCGGTTGTCGCTGTCGACAAGGTCGCCGGCGCCGTCGCGGAGCCGACCCCGCGCAGGGCAGAACCCCCGTCGTCGTTTGCGGATCTGCGCCCAGTCTCCGTTTTGCGTTAGTTCTCCCAGCCATCGAGCCCTGTCTCTTGCGACCGACGCTCTGATGCGTTTCGCCGCCTCTCTCTTGCGCGCGACGTCGCCAGCGAGTCTGGCCTGCGATCGAGCACTGAGCAGCGAGGGTGCCATTGCTAATCCAAGGTTTTCGTCTTCTCAGGGTCTCTAGCGTTAGGGAGCATTCCTCAGCGCGCATGAAACTATCAACCGATCGGTATCATGCCAAGTTCACATCGCGGTGGTCTGGCGCTTCGTCTTCGAATGGTTCCAGAGAGTATGACAGGTGCATGGCTAGATCGCGCCTTGCCCACGGCTGCGAAAGAAGGCTGCGGTCTCGACGGCGCGCAGGTTCTCGGGCGCTTTTGTCAACGTCTGGCAACACGGAAGCCTGCAGCAGGAAATACTGGGAGGATAGCGGCACCTCCTGGCGCGCAGACACACCCCCGACGCTGTGGAGCCAACTCTGTTCGCACACTAGAAATTCAATCTGCGAATGCGTTTGCCATCCAATATCCGTGCCCGACGGGGTGCCGACGTTGTAGGACGTCGCCAGGCGACCCACAGGAACTTCAAAGAATATGTTCGCCAAACACATGCCTAGATGCGCGCAGGTCTCCACGAGCAAGTGTCTACGAGCGTCCTCTTCGCACTCCCCCTGCGGGCACAGCAGCACGCGGGGGCCAACAACAGGGTATTCTCCGTCAAACTTGCGAAACAGCTTCGCGCTCAAGTCGCCGAGCACAAGTTTAGGTCCATGCGCGGACCTGGACTCCACAAATTCTGGAAAATCGTGGACGAAAGTGCGCTGCTGTTCTCAAGAGGTTGCCACTGTGGGGCGCGAATGCGGAGAAAATGACAGCCTTCCCACCTGGCACACGTAGCTTCAAGGACGCCATTCTGGATGTAGCCTGGCAGAAGCCCACGATCGATCTCTGGACCCATGGGGCCACCAAGGATCCCACTCCAGCACGCGTTGAGTCTTCCCCTGCACAACCGGATAAGATGATCAGGAAGCCAGACTCCGTGACTAAAGTATCAGATGTCGGCCACCACGTTTCTTGCAGACACAGGATCCCAACATTCAATCAAGGACGCACAAATAGGAAAACCTGGCCGGACAAGAACGGGAAGCGTCGCTTTTGTCCAGTAGATATATAAAATCTGCTCTTTGTTTGGTCCGCCGCGCAAATACGTCGTGGCGTGCGTGGTTTGCGCGTGCGCGCGCGTGGAATATGTGCATGTGCGTCCGTGCGTGATGGTCTGCGGCACTGCTGTGTTATCCCGTGCTGCTCTGCCGTGCTCCTGCGGTCTGCGTGAACGTGTGTTGCCTCTCTGTGTGTGCGTGTGTGTGCGTGTGTATGTGTCGGTGTGTGCGTGTGCGTGTGCCTGTGTGCGTGTGCCGATATGCGCGTGCCTGTGGGTGCGGCTGTGTGAATAGATGTTCTGTGTGTTCTGCCGTGCTCCTGCATGTTCTGCTGTGCTCCTGTGTGTTTTGCCGTGCTCCTGTGTGTTCTGCCATGCTGTGTGTTCTGCAGTTCTCTGCCGTTCTACGATGTACTCTGTGTGTTCCGCCGTGCTCCTCGTGATCCTGCGTGTTCTGCCGTGCTCCTATTTGTTCTGCCGTGCTCCTGCGTGTTCTGCCGTCAATTCTGCCATGCACCTGTGTGTTCTGTCGTGCTCCTCTGTGTGCTCCTGTGGGATATGCGGCGCTCCTGCTTATTCTGCCATGCTCCTATGTGTTTTGTGTGATCTGCTGTGCTCCTGTGTGTTCTGCCATGATCCTGCGTGGTCTGCCGCGCTCCTGCTTGATCTGCCGTGCTCTGCCGTGCTCCTCCTGCTCCTGCGTTATGCCATGTTCTTGTGTGTTCTGCCGTGCTCCTGTCTGTTCTGCGTGTTAAAGTTAAAGTTAAAGACGGGGCATTCAAGGCACAAGAAAAACAAAGACGCGGACAGGGCCAGACGGAACAACCGTTCCCGAAAGAAACCGAGTCCCAAGCAGAGCGAGCCACGCGTGCCGACTCACCTCCAGGAGCAACACACGAGAGCGACACGATGCTAATTCCTCACTCACTCACAGAGACGCTCGGCTCCCTTCGAGGCAGGCTGCTGCAGGGGCATGCTGTCAGCCTCCACCTCCGCCTCCAGCACTGCCGTGGGAGCGGCTGGGCCTCTGCCTGAGCTGCTGGCTGCAGTCGAGGCACCGCCTGTGGACTCCGCCTCCATGCCGATCCACTCCAGGTAGTGCTCCTGGGCATGTCCTGGCACTGGCACTTGCGAACGCAGCGCGGGGATGCCCTCTCCCTTCACTCTCTGTTTGTACGCTCGTGGCCTGCCTCCAGGATGGAGCCCTCGCACCCACAGGCTTCGCTGATTCCTGCCCGCTTTGCTCGTCATGTCACCTGGGCACCGCTCCTTCAGGCTTGGCTCCTGCGCGGCTGCCCTGCACCTTGTAGGCCCCGCGCCTGGAGCAGGCCACGATCTCCCGGGCGTCTTCGCCTGCGCCCGCGCAGGCGTAGCTGAGCGTGTGCCCCAGGAGGCTGAAGACGACAGCTGCGGCCGAGATGGTAGTCGCGCTGCTCCCCGTCGAGCTGCTGCTCTGCAGGCATGGCCGCTCGGCGGGAGCGCCGACGCCGAGGGCCGCTCCAGCCAACGGACGCACCTCGGCCGTAGCGGCCTGCGCCTGGCGTCGCTCGCCCGCAGGAGGGGCCTCTTCGCTATCCTTCACCGAGCCATCGAGGTACAGCTTGCCGTTGAGCCTGCCGTCAGCTGGCTTGCGAATCCTGCAGACACTCATCGTCCAGTGCATGTAGGAGACGTGGGCACCACGCACGTGCTGCTCCCTCACGCCCAGCTCGATGCCTTGCCGTCCGAGCAGCCGACCGATGGCGTTCTCGAAAAACGGCCGAAGCCAGAGGGGGTCGCTGCTGCGCTTCCGCTTCTCATGGCGGTTGGGGGCCTGCCGAGCATCATACCCATCCATTATGCTCAGCTCCTGAGGCCCGAGGAGCATGGGCTCGAGCTCGTCATCGGAGTCCGCGACCTTGCACCGCTCCGACTCGAGGTACCGGCCGAACGGCTCCAGGGGCCGCACCACTGCTACGGTGGGCGAGGCACCGCGTCTCCCTGCGGCGCCACAAGCGCGCCTGGCAGCTGCCGCCTCCAACCCCCCAGCACACATCCTGCGCGGCAGCTCGGCTGGCTGCAGCAGGTCCACCATCTCTGCCGTTGCCTCGAGACGCTCAAGTACTCCAACTTGGCCTACGAGGTCGCTCCACTCGCTAGTGCCGCTACACATCGCCTATGCTAAGCACCACCTGCCAGACGCACCGAGCTCCGCGCGAGAGCTGCCAGCGCCGCCTCCTGCCAGCTGCGATCCTCTGTCGCGCTACATCGAGGGCCTGGCGCATGGCGCAGGCGGGGACCGAATGTCCGTGGCGGCACTCGTGCTTGACCGCCGCGTCGAGGGGCGCGCGGACCGCCATGGGCCCCTCTGCCCGCCCCAGGTACCTACGCAGGTCGCTGTCGTCGACGCCGTGGATCCCCTCCAAGGTGCACTCAACGACCTGGATCCACTGGCGAGCAGCCTCATTGGGGCCGCTCGGGCGGGAGCCCACCTCCCATGACCAACGGCAGGGCTCCACCTGTCTGCGTGTGCGCTCCACGCGGCTGGCCACCTGGACAGCTCCATCTTCGCGGGGCCGGCGAGCTGCGGCGTCGCCAGCAGGGAAACGAACTGGGCGGACCAGCACCTGCGCCAGGGCATCTGGTCCCGCATCCTGTAGCCGCAGCTCTGCAGGCTTGCGGGGGCACGGCCCACAGCCATCCCGCGCTGCGGCCTCACTGACCCCCTTGGACCCGACCGAAGGGCCTCGCAGACCAGACGTACACAAGCCCAGCCCCTTGGCCTGCGCACGTGAACTCGGTGAGCCCCAGGTACGTAGTTCGCTGCACTCTGGACCGTCCCAACTCGTGCAGCGTGCCTGGCTCCATGTTGAAGTCGCCCTGCGCCAGCCAGGGCACGCCCGCGGAGAGCTCGTTGCCGCCGAATGCTGCGAAGATGCCGAGGTTGACGCCTTTGGGCCCCAGGGCGCCGCGCAGGCGGGCTACCTCGGCGCCGCTGCCGCCAAGCTGGCGTGGCCCCGCAGCGCGGGCCTCACTGGGCCTTCTCCTGCACTGGCGGGTCTCCTGCGCCCCTGCCCCCAGCTGCGTGGCCAGCAGGGCGAGCAGCCAAAGGGGCCAGGTCCGCTGCCTCGGCTGCCAGCTCCCGCTTGCAGGCCTGCGCCACCTGCGGCCATTCGCCGAAAGCGTTGCCATACCGCTCGGCTTGGCCGCGCTCCGCTGCGGCCTGGGGCTGCCAGGGGCCGCTGCTGCCCGCGAGGTTGCCGTCGTTGCCGTCGTCGCTGCTGATCTCGTCCATGGGGCAGGTCTCTGCCCGCGGTGCTTGCGTGGGAGCCAGGGGGGGCCCAGCGAGCTGCGCTCGCACCGCCTCCATCTGGGCGCGGATGGCTGCCCACGCGACCTCGAAGTTGCTGGAGGCCCAGGCCTCTGGCAGCTTGTCCAGCTGCGTGAGGAGCCCTGGGACCTGGCTGGCTCCTGCCCATTCAGCTGCCCGCTGGCGCTCCCGCGCCTCCGCTTCCTCTCGGGCGGCTTCTTCGAGGACCTGGAGCGCCCTGCTGGCCTCCTCCAGCGCGCCGTCCCGCTCCGCGAGCTCCTCCTGGGCCTTCTGGAGCTGGGCCTCCGCGAGGTCGCGCGCCACCTGCTTCTGCTCCAGGTCCTGGCGGGCTGCGCGGAGCCGCTTCTCCGACTTGCTGATGGCGTTGGCCTCCTTGTGCAGCAGCGTCGGCCGCGGCATGGCGGCGGCCTTCTGCTCCGCTGCTGCCTGCTGGGCCTTGGCCAGCTCTGCCCGCTTCGACTCCAGCTGGCTGGCCACGACGCTGGTGTAGCTGCCGTCCACGCCCTCGGGCGGCCCAGCCTGCAGCGCCTCCAGCTGCTCGGCCGTCGCCTGCAGCCTCTCGATAGCCGTGACTCCACCGCCACTCGGCGCCCCACTGGCCGCAGACGCCGAGGTCTGCGACTTGGCGGATGCCGCTCGCGATGCAGCGCTGCGGGCCTGCCGCTGGGCTTTGCGCCCCCACGGCTGGTCCACCCAGCCGTCCTTGTCGGCCTTGGGCTTCCCCGCCGCGGGAGCTGACCCCGTGGCCCAGGGCGGCGCTGCATACCCACAGCTGAGGCACGAGGCACGCCAGTCCCAGTTCCACCCTCCGCAGCTGCACATCCAGTACGGCATGCTGCGCTCGCCACTGCTGCCGCCGCGCGAGGAACGCGCCATGGCCCCAGGCGCACGGGCTGAGCGGTCGCGCCTCCGCGCTGCGAAAGCGAGGCGCAGAAAAACAGAGTGCACTGGCCCAAAGCGAGGAGCCCCTCGCGCTCGGAACGCCGCGGACGACTCGCGGTCGTCGGGTGATCCATGGCCTTGAGCCAGAATGGCTACGGATCTGTTCTGCGTGTTAAAGTTAAAATTAAAGACGGAGCCTGAAAGGCAAGTGGCTGCCAGAACGCAGGCAGGCCCAGACGGGGCCCGCGCCCCCGAAAGAGGCCGCGCCAGGCGGGCACCGAGGGCGGCGGAAGCCCACTCACCTATGGGAGCAGCATGCGCAGGCCACAACGATGCACTGTGCGACACACTCCCTCACTCACTCGCAGGCTGCGCGCCACGGCGGGCGATGCGGCGGCGTACCCTGCGGTCCTCCAGGGCCCCGACCGCCGCCGTGGCCGCGGCGGCGAGCTCATCCCCCGTGACTCCGAAAGCCCCGAGGAGGGCTGCCCTCGCCGCGGCTGGCCGCCGCAGAGGCAGGCTGGCGTCGGCGGCCGCCGCGGGCGCGACCGCGGGCGCCAACACAGGGCCCCGCACCTCAGCGGGCGCCGCGGCCGCCACGGAGGCGCTGCCTGCCGAGCTCGCAGCAGCCGAGGGGCCGATCTATGGCTCCGCCGCAATGCCGAGCCACTCCAGGCACTGCTCCTGCGCATGCTCTGGCAGTGGCCCCTGCGATCGCAGAGCAGGGATGCCGTATCCTTACACTCTGTGCCTGGCAGTTCGGGACCCTTCTTGCCTCCTGCCACCAGGATGGAGTCACCGAAGCCACAGTCTGCGCTGGTTCCTGCCACCTTTGTCGGCCTTGTCGCCTGGGCAACGCTCCTTGAGGCGAGGCCTTACGCCAGAGCGACTGCGACTTCCCAGCGTCATGTAGGCGCCGCACTTGGTGCACGCCACGAGCTCCTGGGTTCCGTCTCCCTCTCCCGAGCAGGCGTAGGCGAGGGCATGCCCCAGGATGCTGAAGGCTGCAGCGCTGGCCGGGAGAGCGGCAGTGCTGCTGCTAGCCGAGCGGGCGCTCTCCAGGCGCGGCCGCTTGGCGCACGGCGCAAGGCTAGCGGCCTCCTCTGTTGCCTGCGACGCCTCCGCAGCGGCGAAGCGAACCTGGCGCCGCTCAGCCGCAGGCGGCAGCCCTTCACAGTCCTTGGCCGCGATGTCCTGCCAGAGGATGGCTGCCCGACTGATCCAGCGCCCGAGCTCCAGCACGATCTCCGCCAGCGCGTGGTGCTCGCCGACCGTCTGCCTGCCCACTGCGTGCATCAGGGCCCCCATCTTGGCAAGGCGGTCAGCATGCTCGTTGCCGCGCCGCTGGGCCTCCGTCAAGCGCCCGTCGAGCACGGCCTGCCTTGAGCAGTGGGCTGGCACCTTCCTCACAGCGAAGGTCCCTGGCTCGAGGCATGCCAGGATCCTGCCCCACAGATGGGCGTTGGCCCTGCTGGGCTTGGTCGCGTATGCACGCCCCCTGCGCAGGCAGGTCACGGTGGAGCTGCAGTCGACGTTGACTTCCTCGACTGCTGGCCCAGCAAAGGTGGCGAGCATCCACACGGCGAAGTCCTCGCCGTCCTTGGCCGTCTGCTGCGGGCAGAGGTCTCGCCTGACGGTGCCGTAGACCCCGACCAAGTTGCCGTCATCGTCGCACTGTGCGATGGCCCATCCCGCGCGGTGGAGGGCACTGAACTGCGGCTCGAGGGCAGAGCCGTCCAGGTACAGCTTGCCGTTGAGCCTCTCGTTGGCTGGCCTGCTGACCCACTGCACCCACATGGCGTCAGTGCGGCGACCCTGGGGCGGCGCTGGGGCAGGCAACGAGCAGCGGGCGAAGTTCTCGCCAGCGCACTCCCCGTGGGCCCGCGCTCTCTCCGCACACCTCTTCAGCCGTGCGGACACTCCGTCGCGCTGCTGGGGCTCCAGCACGGGGCACTCGAACAGGCGGTGCCACAAGGTGCCTCGGTCGGCCCCACAGCGGCAGCAGCACGCGTGCCGCCGCTCTCCTGCGTCGAAGAGTCTGGCCTGCGTCCAGTGCGCGTTGGAGACGCAGGCCCCCAGCGCATTCTGCCCCCTCACGCTCAGCTCGCTGTCGGGCCCGAGCAGCCGCCCGATGGCGTCCCAGTACAGGGGCTGCTGCAGGAGGGGGTCGTGGCTGAGCTTCCGCATCTCGCGGCGATCGGAGGCACGCCTGGCGCCGAGGCTAGCCCCCAGCCCCAGCTCCCGAGGCCCGAGGAGCAAGAGGTCGAGTTCCTCACCAAGGTCCGTGACGAGGTAGCGCTCGGACTTGAAGTGCCAGCCGATCCGAGCGAGGGTCAGCACCGCCGCGTCGCTGGGGGAGGCGCAGTGCTTCCACGGTGCGTCGGCAGCTGCGTGCCTGGCTGCCGCCGCCTCGAGCCCCCGCGCCATCATCCTGTGCGGCAGCTCGGCAGACTGCAGGAGGCTCGCTAGCATCTGGACCGCATGGCCCGCCGTGAGGACTGCGGGGTCCAGGTCACGCCTCCTCCTGAGCTCGGCGCATCGCATGCGGAGCCCAAGCGCGGCGCCCATGGGGAGCGCTCCTGCACTGCGGCGCGCTGCGAGCCTCTAGCTGTGCAGCTCACCGTCCGCGATGCCCGTGACCGTACGCCCCCACGCCATGCTGGCTGTGGGCCCAGCCTTGTGGATGAGGTCCACCTCCACGCCTGCAGCTCGCAAGCAGCCCAGCCTGCGCGCGCGGCGAAGCGCCCCAGCAGCACGGACACGGCCCTCATGCACTCCCCTCCTCGTGATGGTGGCGTCCGTGCCGAGGCCCCCGGCCTGCAAGGTCTGACGGAAGGTCCAGCCCTGCGACTTCCAGAACTCACCCAGCTGGAGCCCCAGGCTGGAGCTCGAGGCGAGGAAGGTCGTCTTGGCGGCACTGATGGGCAGGTGCTGGCTACGGAGGATGCACGCCACTTCCAGCCCAGCCGCGCCCAGCTGCGCAGCAACCAGACGCTCCGCGCCGACGGCCTGCAGCGCGATATCGTCGACGACGTCGCGTGCCACCACCAGCGGCCTGCCTCCCGCCGAGGCCGCACGCAAGGCAGCAAGCACGGGCAGCTTGGCCACCGTGGTAGCACACGCACACCCTGCGAGGACCGCCCCGCTGGTGGTGAAAGACTCGGTGGCCATGCCCACGAAACAGAGGAACCGCGGGCTCTGGTAGAGCACGAGGAGGCCGCGCAGCAACTTCAGGTTGAAGCCATGCTCGATCCCGCGCTGCCACAGGACGTCATGCCGCAGCTTCTCGTAGAACTTGGTGATGTCCAGAAAGAGGCTGGCGGCGGCAAACCCGCGCCTCCCGCGCATAGGCAGCAAAGGCGTTGTGCAGCCAGCCCGCCTTCTCGCAGCCGCGGTCAGCCTTGCCCCAGAAGAAGCGGTGGTCGTGCTCCGCCTCCCACAGCGCACAGATCGGCTGCCTCAGGCGGCTCCAGATGCGCATGAGCAGCGGGATCAGAGCAATCGGTCGGGCCCCTCCGTCAGCCTTGGGGATGAAGACCATCATGGTGGCCTGGCCGCCCAAGGCCTGGGGTTGCTCCTCGTATGCCTCCAGGAGATTCAGGCACCGCCGCTGGAGGGCCACTGGGAGCAGCAGCAGCTGCCGCGGGTGGAGCTGGTCTGCCCCCAGGCCTGCCGTAGGCGAGTAGCGCCTGCAGACAGCCTGCAGCATCTCCAGGCTGAGGAGAGGCAGGATCGCTCCTCGGACGTCCCAGCTGCCGACTGCAGCACCAGCTTGGAAGCCCTCCTGCTGCCAGAGGGCCTGCCAGTTGGCCCCCAGCTGCCCGACTGCCAGCATGCCAGCCAAGAGCCTGCCAGTGTCAGGGTCGACAACCTGTGGGGGCGGCACCGCCTTGGCGAACCTATGGGCCAACCTGCCACCCTTCTGCACCGCTTCCTTGGCCCATGCTCTCCAGGAGGCCGAGCTCTTGCACCCATCTCGCTTCTGGGAACATGCGAGGCGCCGCTGCGGCACTGCAATCGCCTCTGGGCCCCCATGGAGGCCAGCCTGGCTAACTAGGTCGCCCCACTCACTGGTGTCGAACTCGAGGGCCTCGACCTCGTCCTCCTCACAGGCGGCGACCGTGGCAGCCTCCACATCGGCGAGGACCCGCTCGACCTGCCGCTCGTACCAGGCCTCGCGCGCGGGCTGCCATCGCTTCGTCTCGTCCGCGGTGAGCCTCTGGAGGGCGACGTCGAGGGCCTGGCGGATGGCGCGGGTGAGGGCCGAGTGCCGGCGGCGGTACTCGCGCTTGACCACGGCGCTGAGGGGCTTGAGGACAACCTTGGGCCCCGCAGCCCGCCCAAGGTACCTGGGCAGGTGGGTGTCGTCGACGCCGTGGATTCCCACCAAGGTGCTCTCGACGACTGGGATCCACTGCCGAGCGGCCTCGGAGGCGTCGCTCGGCTGGGAGCCCACCTCCCAGGTCCAGCTGCAGGGCTCCGCTTGCCAACGGGCGCGCCCCACGCGGCGGTGTACCTGCACTGCTGCATCCCCGCGGGGACGGCACTCAGCAGCGTCGACATCAGGGAAACGGCCAGGACGCACAAGCACCTGCACCAGGGCGTCGGGCCTCACGTCTTGCAGCAGCAGCCTCACAGGCTTGTGCGGGCACAGCCCAAGGCCATCCAGGGCCGAGGCCTCCCTGACGCCCTGGGCAAGACAAAAGGAGCCCACGAACCAGTCGTACACATGCTCCGCCCCTTGGGCCACACATGCGCACTCCGCAGGCCCCAGGTACGTGCCGCGCTGCACACGAGGCCAGCCCAACTCGCGCAGCGTGCCAGGCTCCATGTTGAAGTCGCCCTGCGCGAGCCAGGGCATGCCCTCGGACAGCACCCGGTCGCCGAAGGCCGCGAAGATGCCGAGGTTGATGCCCTTGGGCCCCAGGGCGTCCTGCAGATACAGCGAGCACGCCAGGAACTGCAGCCCAGACGCCGTGGTGATCGCGACCCCA